ATTTTATGACACCGGTGTCCATCTGTTCGCAGTACTATCCGACCGGGCGTTGAGAATGTTGGGCCAGCTTGTTCACATCCACTGCCGGGGTCCCATGCTAGTAAGGTGAGGGTGATTATCAAGCTACTGTTGGTGGAAATGTTTGCCTTTGCATCACTCATTTTACCGCACTTTTCAAAACAGTAGACGTCTCCGCCAACCCGTTCCGGACTTACAACAAACATTTTCCTTTCGCTGCTGGAGCCTGGATTGCTCCCTTTTTTTATTTTTTTTGGCTTTGCAAAACCCTCAGATTTGTGCGCTTGGGTTTATATAGCTTCGATTAGAACTGGTAGAGGTCAGTTTTAGGCAAAGCGTTGACGGGGCTACAATTTCTTCTACAGGTGGTCACGGTACTGTACTGAGCATATACCGGCAAGGGCCGGAGAATAACTCAGAGGCAAGGGAAGTACATATAAGTCGGTGCATGGAGGCACTGACTACATGAAGGTAAATAAAATATTGCTTTGAGCAACGTTGTGCGCTCGACGACTAGTGATGATATCAACTTGATCAGCGCATACCCACATCCCCCGCGCGCCTCTTCGAACGGGCCCTAAAGCATCGACGCGAGGTCGTCGCCGACTCGGTTAACAAATCATAATTATTGAAACGGGCAACTCGGATACGATAGTGAGGCTTAATTCCGACCCCCGGACAAACCGTTTTGATCTGCAGGATTACTGATGATACAGTGTTGGCTACCATTGAGTCCAAGGGCAGGCATGGAGAATTGGGTATTTGGACAGGTGTTTGAGGCCGCACCTTTGGGTAAACTGCAAGTACGAGTAAATTTAGTCGACCAGGGGTAGTCGGGCAAGACTATCATCCCGGCCATTGTCTCACTCTGGAACAAAATCGCCTAGGCGTGTTATTAGCACTATAATAACGCTAGTTTCTCCAGCACTGACGATCATGCCATCCAGCATGGACAGCATGTGGATGGTGGCGTGAGTGGGGGTGGTTTAGCTTTACCTGGTGGGTGGTATGTAAATTAGTTTGTTCTTTGATTTGCGACCAGATTTAAATTAAGGGCAATAGTGTGATGCTAGCAGGAGCAGAATCCATGTCTGTCAGATTTAGAGATAATCAATGCCGGTATCCTAAATTTTCCAACTATTGAAAGATGAAACCGATATTAAAACTTGTACAGTACCGTATACTATACCTAAAAACACTTTCTTTTACCTGTTTCTGTCCCGGGGAGATAACGAAATCAATCATTATTTTCAATTCAGATATTGCTCTTTACCGAGAAATATTCATCAAAAGATATAATAATGTTGAAGAATCAATTTAAGAAGATGTTGGAAATAAATACTTAAAAATCAAATGTGGAATAATTTTTCACATTATTTTCTCCCGCCTCTTAATATTATCCAGTTCAAGGTGTACATTACGGTACAGTACATGTTTGGTGGGCGGAGTGACTGAAGTTTTGCTTTGTTAGTAGGATATCCTGATGAATTTATGAATTTATGCTTCGCGAACGATTCCATGGTTATGCGTCCGTCAGGGATTCACAAAATAAGTGTGAAAATCTGCGGATACCTGAGGAATCGTACAAATCCACATCCTCTGGTTGTGCATCCTTCTTGCGTGCTACAAGCACTTGGACAGGAAGCGCAGTGATTCGAACCCGAGCCCAACTGGCGAGAAGGTTTTTCCCTGTAAGTGTTGCCGTGGAACTGGTTTCGAAATATCTTTCCTTTTTTAGGCAAATCCAAAAACGGACCGGAGAAAGGCGATGCCCCCCCCCGATCCTTGGCTGGGTAACCGGGTACCGATGCTGTGAACTTCCCGTAGACTAGACTATGTCGGCTCCCAATCACGAATTGAAATTAAAACTGCTTCTGCCGTGCCACTCTCTGGGAGTTGTGATCTACATGTCGCGACCTCTCGGGTATCCAGTCTCCATTACAAGTATGTACTGTACTGTACAGTACAGTACATAGACACGGGCATGGCCACAAAATCCTCAGAAAATACTGTAAAAACCGGTTCATATAGTATCCAACTCAGCTGGAGTGGCAGTGCTGTTGGTTCCTCTCTCAATAACCCAAGTGGGCATACATGCGAGGGCGTCGGGCCATCGCTTATCTTGCCGCAGGAGCAATGGCGTAGAGCCGGATTGGATTGGCGAAATAATCCAGATATCGGGTCGTTACTGGCTATGGCTGGGATACTAGATTTAGCATTTATTGGAGTTTCAGCGAGTTAAGCTAGACAAGTGGGGAGGGGGGTAGCAGAGGTCGGATACGATATCGAGGCATAACAGACTAGGAACTTGCGGTGGTATCCTGGTTTAAAGGGGTTTTGGGATTTTGAGGTTAGGGTCAGTACAGTGTTTGTAATTATCTCCTCCGATCATCGAGTATATCCGTGCCCCATCGTCCTAAATCTGATACCATTGTAAGTTATCACCGACCAGATGACGATATTGGCTCAAGAGGTAGGGGAGTACCTGAGAGTGGGGAAATTGTGGGTTTTTTCTAAACGAACTCAGTGCAACCAGAGGCTAGAGCCTATGCTTTGTTAGTTTTTTCTCCACTCTATCTAATGCAAACAAGTGATGTTATAGGTGATTCCTCGGCTTTAGTACTATGGGGTTCCACTTCAACAGATTGTTTTACCGATCCAGCTTCAACAACTCGCAGACGGCCATATATTTCTTTTAGTATCGTACGGTGATGGTTGGGAGTTCCCCAGGGTTTAGGGATCACCATTTCTGAATTCTGAAGTACAATTATCATACCAGACTTTTCAGTCTTTGGACGAGATTCTAGTAGGAATATAAAAATTGGCACCCCGTGCTAACCGAGGTACGGCGCCTAAGTTTTCTATGATAAACTCGCAGTGGGCATTGTGTTAGCAACTGGTGTAATATACAAACTTAGGAGCTGTGCCTCCGCACACACAAAACTTATTTGGTTTTCCCAGATTTTCAATCGGTTCCAGCTTAGAACGCAAGGTGGCGGTTATTGGGTCGTGTGATTCATTTGCTCCGTAAATTGGTAGTAGGACTGATCAAATGTTTCACCTCTACTGCGCGGTACTTCCGACCATCCTTTCCGCTACTATTGCTAGAGCCGGGGGCCCGCGAAGCACGTAACACCTCCCACTCCGACTCTTTTAATCGGTACAAGGTGGTGAGCTGAATCATATGTACTGTACAGTACGTGTAGCATAGCAGGAGTTGGAAGTTTGCATCCAACAGTCAGCCACACTGTGGCAACGGTGGTTACACAACCCCCTCCTACCGCTTCTGGCAGCATTCTAGAGTCTGCAACAAATTTTGTCGTCAATTACAGTAGAGATAACTGAACGGGAAATCTTCTGCATTGTTCTGAACAGCTTCCACAAACCGAGGGTGGCAACCTTGATAAGGGTGTGGGTGGCTCAAATATGGCGCGGGACTCGGGTCAGAGGAACTGCGGCTTTTCTTGGCGCTGGCAGGCCGTTCTCGGCCTTAGCGGCTCTTGATCTGGTGTTACATCCGTGAGGCCACTAGCTGGTCGAGCATTAAAGTACAGTACAGTACAGTACGGCACATCGCTGCAAAGCCTGTGAAGTATCTTGAGCCTGAAGCGGATAAGACGCAGAGGTGAATCACTTGTTTTTCATTACTAAAAAATGTTCATTTATTCAACTGGATTAATTTTTTTCCAAAGTCACTTGGTTAATACACATTCACCGAAGCTAGTTAGAGAGTTGTGTGGAGAAGGGAATAGAGTGTCTTGAGGTCGGACAGTATATTTGTGTATGATGGTGTCTCATCTTTGAACGACATAGATTTGTCTTGAGAGAGAGATAGAGTGCCGGGGGCATGTTGCTACTATTATCATATTCCGAGTGATTTAAAAGGGAAAGCCCTCGGGCAGTCAGCAGATATCTTTAGATTATCTGGGCACCAGGCCACTTTGACCGGAGTTGTGCCAAGACTCGACCCGGCGGTTGCCTGGGGGCGGCCGGGCTTTGGCGGACATTGAGAATTCCGACCGGACTGACCCAGGATTTTCAATCCCAAGGCCGGACTGCTCTCTCGGGTTCACTGGTCTTGATATGGGTGCATTTCTGCAAAAGGGGATACGATTGCAAATTGCAAGTAACCACAATTCAGTGCAACAATTGGCAGCATCAGCTACCGCACAGTAGTCCCAGTCAATGAAGATGAATACAGTATCACAAAATCAAAAATTATCAGCAACACAATTGTTTGAGCGCTAACGCTCAATCGAGACATTTCTGTGACAACATGTTACATCATGGAGAGATAGCATATCCCGCGATGTATCATACAGCTAAGCAAACTTTCGGGTATCTCTATTCGAAGGATTATTTGGCACTGATGACTCTACTTTTTCTCACTTCCTGACCCCAAATATGCTGTCGGGACTCGCTTCAAGCCAATCAGACATCAGCTATGTTGGATATCCTTTTTCGTCATTCGCCTTCACATCAGTTTTGCCAGCGCCACCTCCACCTCGTCCGAGCAGTGGAAAATTGCGTACCATCACTCCACCACCACTCCCCAATAAATCATGTGGCTCATCAGGCATTCCTTGCGGCAATACTACTCTATCCAGCAGGAGAATTGAACCCATAGTAGTTCATAGAGGTTAAATCATGGGAACAATCCATTGTGTGTTCCTTTTCCTCACCTTTTGACCGAAGGATCGCACCCACCATCCCAATATAATAATTGAATATCCAGCCTGAAATTTTGTCTTGTTCTCCTAATATACATCAGTGTATCACGCATTGTATTCCGATGTTGTGTGTGCCCAATATCCCTCTCGTTAGGTAACGCACCCATTATCTCTGACCCTGCACACCATCGCCAATGCCTTTGATGAAGCACAGCTCTACCCCATTGATGCGAGTAGTTTCAACCTTAAAGAATAATTCACAGATGTAACAGCGACAGCTTGGCAGGTGCTAGCTAATTTACCATTTGACCTATGATATATACTCTGACCATAACTTCAACATCACCTCCCCACCATCAGCTTACCACGCTAGACCCGAACATCAACGAAATTGCAAACATACTGGAGCATCGGTGCTTGTCAGCTTCACCCACGCCAACGGGTAATGTGGGGGGTATTCTCTACCCACATAGCTACTGTTATTTAGGGTAGTTAGAGTGCAAACTTGCTAACCTTATCAGAGCCCGCCGACCGCGCGTATACATCGATATATGGACACCTCCGCACCAACAACCCTTGCCCACTGCTCACAAAAGGTTACAGCGTGGAGGTCGGGTCTCATCCAGAGCGCCACGGATTGGGTACTACGTTGATACATGTTGCTTCATCGGACTGGAGAGGGGCAAGTTGATTTCGATTTTTCACAACTTTTGCGTTATTCGCAGAGTAGTGTGATTGGTTGGCGAGATCTTATCCTGAGGAGGTGACTACGGGGGACCTCTCCGGTAACCTCCCTCAAGCTTCCGTCGCAAACAGGGTAATCCTTATTTTTTTCTCCTCCCACCTGCGCCCTTCACAACTAACTGCCCTTCCACCGAGGCAACAAAATTCCAACTCCCAAGGCGAGAACAAACCTTCTTGTCCCGGCTTGATAAAACCATCGCCAACATAGCCATACTAGCCACCTCCCTTTACCCCACCATCTCCACTTGGTCACGAAAGTGCTGATCTCCGACGCCAAAGCCCGCACCGCAATACAAGCCTTGGACAAGCTGGCCATCCTCTCGCTCCTCTCTACGATAATCGCCGAAATATTCCGCGAATCACTCGCAAAATGGATCTCATAGCTGGAGGAAGTCCTTGTGAAGATTCAGCGAGCAACGGATAACAACGAGCTTGTGCGCAGGCTGGCAGACTGTAGAAAGGTTCTTGTAGGTCTTGCTAGTGTTCTCGGAGGGCTGTGGGTGTGGATACGGTCGCCGATGAGGTACAGGAGCGAAGGAAGGAACTCAGTGCGATCAGTAGGATAATCGGCAAGCAGACAGGCACCACTGCTCAAATAGAGCACGGGGAGGTGGAGGGGCAGCTTGAGCTTGTAGGGGACGGCGCAGGGGCGGAAACACAGGATCGAAGAGGATGAAGATGTTAGAATCCTGGATGCTGCTCGGCATGCTCATGACTTTGTTGTCTTGTCCGCCGGCATATCCGTCCACCGGCACCTCCACCCGTCGGTTGGCATCACTACCCGTCCATCCACCAGTCTGCATATTTGCTGAACGTTCCCGGAGCCGGCCGCTTGTTCGTTCCCGCCTCTTCGCCCCTCCCGCCACTTGTTTCTTGGCGCATTTGCTTTCTTCGGGCGGAGGTTTCCGTTGTGCGCTTTGGAAAAGCGCTTCCGACGGAGAAGGATATGAACGGCAAGTGATTTCTGGACCGTCGGGAGTCTTTATTCCTGTATTTCATTTGTTACCACGGGAGCCTGGGGGGCAGTGGGAGCACGGATGACAATGGGCGCTCGGAAGGTAATTGTAGAGTCTTTGAGGAGTCTATTGTTCACTCTTTTGTTAGCATGGTTGATAGGATGGGAGGGCGCAGAGGAAATGGAGCTGAGTGTGGGAGGTGTTAGAGATACCGAAATACGGTGATCTCAGGAAGGATAGGATACGTGATCATTGTCGTTTATTTATACTCCTGTCTTTTCCTGTCAGTTAGTTTAGTGAGCTGTGGAACCCTTGGATAGCGGAGCTGTAGGGCGGGAGGTAGAGAGTCGTTGAAGAGAGCCAGTTGGGGGGTGACCCTGGTGAGATTCTCCGCTTTTAGTTGTGCAGAGTTTTTCACTGCGCATTTAGTCATCGCCATTTGGTTTCATCGTCGTTTGGTATCGTCCTGGCTCCGGTTAGCCCCTTGATTTCTAAAAGAAGAAACATGACCGAAGCGGTTGCCAACGATTTTGGAAGAACAGGTGCTTAATGGGCGAACGACCGCGACCAGGCACATGGAGGAGCTGAAGTTGAGGGAAGATATGTCCGCGCCCAGAGTCCACTACTTCACGGGACATGGCCTCCGGCTCGGCACCCTCCCGTTGTCAATTATGTTGCTGTAATACGCCCTATTGGGCTGAGACCATTCCTCATTCACCTAGCTTGCAGGGCGTTGTCTTCTCAGTGACCGGGAGTTGATATATTGTATTCCGCTCTGACACTCCCTCAATAGCTCCCTCATGCTCTTGGGCATTGCGCGGTCCGGATTTAAACTCCGTAGCGGAAGCCACCCGTTGCAGTGGTCTTGACTAGTCCACTTGTTGTGGTTGGACGATATCTCAAGCTTTTAAGTTACTATATTTCCGGGAGCGGGTTAATTGATCACAGCTAACAGTGTGGTTAGCGCAGGGCAGATTTCGGGGGGGGGGCAGTTCGCCGAGGTCTCATATGGGGCGCTTGGCTTGGTGTCAACCTTTTGGGTCCAGGGTGGAGGTTAGTGGTGCCTAGGGCTCTAATGAAGCTTACATAATTTGGATTTTCAGGAGCCAGAGAATAAGGTTCTCGTGCCAAGGAGCCGTCTGCGTGGTGTGGCCAGGAATGGGTTCGGGCACCCCCTTTCTATGATGGTTGGTTCTTATCCCTTTCATCTATGATATCATTCCGCGGTAGCTGGGGCCCGCAACAATTCTATGCGTTAGGGAAAAAACGAATGGTTGGTTGTATGATTAGTCTCGAATTGCGAGCAGGGTTGAGGCGAACCAAATCTCACATGAAGATTAAGTGGAATCTTCATAGCCATCACCATCTAGACCTGATTCATTACTGGGATGAGGGTTGCGAGGAAGCCCGAGATATAACTTTACTATGCCAACAGCCGGTAATCCTCCGATTTCCTCCAGCTCCCCTCGTGCACCCATCATGAGCACCGCCTCATCCATAATATTTCTCCACTTTCGACTCGTGAGCCCTGCCCCTGCTTCATATTCCATTATATCACTGCCATCCTCATTCACCTGGGCGATGCTATTATAAACCGCACGAGCAGAAGGCATCCCGTTCTTCTGATAGCTCACATGCAGCGGCAGCCATCCGCACACCACACTTCTGCCTTACCGCCAGCGCCCTGTGCGCTCGTGACGAAATATGAGATAGCGAACCCTTACCGCAGAGTTGTCGTCCGAAACTTTATAGAGCTGTCATCGCGGGACCTCGTTTCCGGATTCTAGAACTGGGAGTTGGTTAGTACTCTAATGGCTGCGGGCGTTTAGGTCGAGCATATTGTGGTTTTGTGGGCAGAGAGGGTTCGCCCATGTATTTCTGCTGATTGGGTATCATAGTAAAACAATGAAGAGGAGGAAGAGGAGCGGGGGGGGAAGGAAGTAATTGAGCGAGTCGGTGCAGAATGGGCTTGACGAGACTATTGACGGCCTGAATTTGCCGGTTGACCGCTCAATCCGTGGAATCCTTCAGCCAGGCTATTTGTTGTTATGAGCTGGTGAATGGAAAGACTGGAAACGGGAACGGAGGAAATCAAGATGAGGAGTTTTAGTTTAGATACGAGTACTTTGTATCTTTTGTTGCTTGACCTTTAGTCTACGGAATAGGGGAAGACTTTAAATACACAAATCAAGTATCCTCCATACACAGAGTTCCGGCCACGGTAACCACGGGTGGTGAACGTTCTTTGCTCCTCCGTGAAAGTGTCCGGCATGTTCCACAAAACCGGAATTCCACTACCTTCAAACATACACGATGCCTATGTTTCTGCTCCCATGATTCGGAGAGTCTCCGATGTTGCATGGGAATATCCGGATACAGTATACATGTAAGGTACATCCATTCTGCCTATATGATGAGAAATCCAACATTATTAGGGCCTTGGTAGTTCCTGATTGCATAGCAGATGGGAGGCTGGTCTGAATAGTAGGTTCGAGCTCAGAGCAAGAAGGGATGTATATTGATTTGATAAACCGCATACTCGGTTTCAATATTTATGATTGTTATGGTGCTCCTTGTCAGGTAGTCTTTAATAATAGGAAATGATCCTCACCTACTATGCCCCACCTGTCACGTCCCCCGCTGAGACGTGCTCACCAACTATGGACATGTGAATATAGTCAAATTGGCCCACGGCCTTCCCGTAGCCAAAGGGTCGAATCCAAGCTCCAGTGTACAGTGATAAAATCATCCCGAGTTCCCTCAATGGTGGCACGAGATGCCAATACCGGGATCATGGCATTGGCGTGGAGCACAGAAGCTAAATGCAGAATCACATCAAGGGAAGATGTCGAAGGCGTCACGCATGTACGTCATAGAGGACATCCAATGCATGATACAGCGTCCCCCCACAAACGGAGGATAAATCTCAAACTTGGAAGTGGTCAAAACGTTCACTTCCTGAGTTGGCTATTGTGAATAGGTTGACGGGTATCCGAGTTAATTACTACCCAAATGTCTATACCTATTAACATTCGTGCAATCCTTCTCAAAGGTGGGGTACAATACTGAAGCAAGCTGGCAGTTGCCGCTCGCGAGGTATGAATGCATACTTGTGCTTTGATCATGCAATGTTGGGTTGGTCAGTCATTCGGAGGGCAGGATCTCACAATCAAACCATGCCCAGCTATAAGGGCCATTTACCACTTTTCTTCGTACCAAGGTCTGTGAGGCTGGCATCCGGTAACAGCAAAAGGGTACTAACTCACATACTGAAAGGTAGTCACATGCTGAGGGGTTCTCATTATTTGGCAGCGTGTCACGGGGTCCAGTCCATCGGTTTTGGGAAAGCTGCAAGCGTGTAGAGATGGCTGTCCGCTGACAGATTCCAAGCTACTCCTGCCCAGGTTGCGGCACCTCAGCCACAACCCGCGGTTGCTCGCACGCTCACAATGCTACTATAGGCCACTCCACAGGTGTGCCCGACAGGTCAACAATAAGTTCATACACAACAATAAATTTCCAAATCAGTTGTAAATTGTCCATAATATTATTAATGGCATAGGACTCATGTATTATTTCATACGAATATCAAATTACCCCGTATTATAATAAACTGATTTAAAGTTTATACTCCAAAAATAACAAAATTATGATAGGTAGGACTATAATTCCCTTTTACTATTAACTTTAGATTATTGAAAACCATTGCCATTGAAGTCTCTACCTGTAGTAACCAGCGTCATGGAAGTTTATGGCACGATATATTTCACCGTTCAATAAGCGGGACAGAAACCAACTGTCAAAATAACATCCTGAGAATTCAACCAGTGCTAAACAGAAGACCTAAATACATCAAAGTCCAAATAGCTGTAAAAGCTATTGAACACAGGATCCAGAAGGCGATTGATATTCTGAAAGGTCTGAGAGATGGAAATCCAAACCAAGCCATGTAATCGGTTGACCCGGGTCGAAAATGAGCCGACCCAACCCAACCCAAACCCAACAAATGTTCTACCCACCCAACACAACCCAACGAAGAATAACCCGGGTTTTGAAGAAATGGGAAGCTACTCTAATTCAGAAAAAGATAATTATATTAGCTATTACGAGAGTTATATGCTTGCAATAGTACAGAACCAACTAGGGTGGGAGAGGCGAATAGGGGGAGATCTGAGTTCATTGACTTGGTTGATTTGCTCAATCTTGATCTCTCGCTCTCGCTTTTTCCTTTGCTGTACTGTGGCAGCAGCATCCATAGACTTGTGAATTGACTGTTGGACTTGGATCAAATGCGTAGATTTTGCTGATTGGTCTTCATGGATGGAATGGACGTGTGTTAGGTGCATTGCGAGATTCTTTGTGCCATGGGACTTTGGCTATTTTTGAGAAGACCGTACGCATTGCCAATAACTAGGACGTGTAAATTTCTATTCGTTATAACCAGTATATATTGGGGAAGACTTACGGGATATTATCAATTGTGACTAACTTTCCGTTAGAAGCCTCCGGAGGTCCCCAGACCCACGATGCTGGAAGGGCATGTTTGCGCTTCTTTCTTGTACGTGTAATAGTGACATCCGGTGGCAACGAGGAATCCGAGTTTACTGGTGCTTTGTGAACTTTGGACCATTCAGTTGTGGTGCTCTCTTCGTGCTGCAATTGAGGGGTCTCAATATCTGATATGGCACTTGGTGTCCTCAGAAAAGGCGGGGGACTAGACAGAACACTTCCGATATCAGAAACAAAACTCATGATTATTGTATCTCAGTAGGATGCAGAAGGTAAAGAACTTGGGGGCAGGCAGTAAACAGAAAATAGGAGCAATACCAGATAGGTAGTCGCGTAGGAGGGCTGGCATAAAATAATATTAACTTAACGAAGAAAGTTCAAGCTCGTATTGAGTGTCTTTAATCCTTCATAGCGAGTGATCTTCTGAGGCCCCTAATCACTCTTAGGTCCAGGTTTTCTGAAGACTATTCAAATTTAGAGAAACCTCCGCTTTTACCTTTCTACTAACAGTAAATACTGTCTTAGTATTCTGTGGTTAGACTACGGTTTCCATGGTAATCACGACAAAACAAACTGAACAATATTGGTTGGGTTCGTTGGGTAACCCCGGGTTAGTCCCCCTTCATCCCGACCCAACCCAACGAATGACCCGGGTTAACCCACCCAAGGCCCGACCCATTGCATGGCTTGACCCAAACTTATCAGCCACAGCATAATGGGTTAACCTTTGTCCCCTATGTTTAAAAGTACTTTGGAATGTCAGAGTGTTTAACTATGAGAGGGGAGATACAGATATAAAACCTAATAAG